ATTATATAATAATATATATATATATATATATATATATATATATATATATATATATATATATACACTTAATTAAAATGTTCTAAATCATTTTATTAGCATTTATTTTTAATTGTTTATAGTTTGATAAAACTATATTAAATTTGTTTTATTAAATAGACAATTACACTCATTTTTTAACAAATATAAATTATATTTTTACAATAACTTTTAACTTAATTCTCTTTATGGAGAAAACATTCACTCGCAGTTTATTTTTATTGCGGAAGTATTTGATGATATTAAATATTTCGATATTTTTGTTTATAAATATACAATTTCTGGAATGCAGTATTAAGTGCAAAATATTGGCCCGCTTGTTGTGGCGAACAAAAAACGTTTACAATTACCTGCGAATTGTAATTTCGAAGTACTCGCACACATTCGTAATGATCATCTATCTTTGTTTTCGCTGATTCATTGCTGATTCAAGCAATTTTATTTCTCGGCGCTGCTCGTACTATAAGTAAAGTAACAACGCTGTTCGCAGAAAGTATCGGATAGTCATCGATGTTTGCGGTATTTGATGCCGAACGAGTGAAGGTATCGATACCCCGTTATATTTAAACATCCCCAGTCCGGTTACAAGCGGCGACCGTAGTGGAGCCGGCCGTGCCGGCGGGCACTTCCGCGTAACCGACCTCGACAAGCCGGGGCAAAACGAGGTCAGGAACGGCGCACACAACGCTGAACGAGGGTCGCACGTTCGTTTCGCGGTGCGGCACGGCGGCAGCCTAGCTGCTAGCCGGGGGTAGTTTCGCTCGGAGCCGCTCGGCTCGATTCGACGGGACGACACCGTCGTAGCACTCCACCTGCACACCTGCAACGAGCAGCCCCACACACACACACACCTGTACACCCCCTATGGGGTGTTCCGGATTTATACCGCATTGTCCCTCTTCGTATGAGTCGCGGATTTTCATATAAGCCGAGGGTTCTCCAATAGAATCTCGTCAAAATTGATTTGTCAAGTACAAATCAATGAGAAATCCCTTATTTTTGAATATAGCATTTGATATTTATTTCTCAGTTTAAAACTTGATTACAAGATTTTTTCATATATTTTTTCATATATTATCTGTGTACAAATATTCTTATTGTATCTTTAAAATGATATAAAACATATGCGTTATCCAGATTTAAAATTATTTGATAATTAATGCTGGAAATTTTCTTCTATATTGAGATTGAATGAAAACTAACTAAAAATTAAAGTTTTTAAAAATATAAATGTAGTTAACGAAGAAGCATGAAAGTCAAACTTTTATGTTTCCTTTGTTAACCGTATTTATATTTTAAATTAATAAGTCTTTCTATTTATTATTTTCTATTTATTATTTAAACGTTTTTTAAATTATTACTAGTTATTTTCAATAATTAAAATTATCGAAGATGGTTTTTTTTTTTAAAACAAAGTATTCAATTTGTATTTTTGGTCTATGTATAGTTTCAAAGTACATAATTTTCATTATTTTCATATATTTCAGTTGCTTATATCAAAACTTTTTAAAAATTATTGATGTCATAACATGAAGTCATCAGTCTGTTCTCTTTGGTGTGACAAAAGGTTGCGACACCCCGTATACCCCACACGGGCAAGTGAACCAGCGCCAGTTCGTGCGCAGAAGCTATCGCGTGTCGACGAGCGGTGAGTGCAGAGTTGGCGGGGATGGGCGTCCTCGCGGTGGGCTCTCGCTCGTACGGCGAACGGCCTCAACGTCATTGGGCGTCGGGACGCCGCCACGACGCAGCGCTCTCGACTCCGAATCGCGAAAACGCGACCGCGAAGTGCCGCGACACGAGGACGAGATTCTTTCGGAGAGCCTTCGAACGAATATCCGCTTCCGAGCTCTCGGAAACCGCAAGCACACGCTTCCTCAGGAGAGACACGCATTTGAGAAAAAAGCCAAACGTTGATCCACTTCCGAGGAAGATCGTGACGCCGTTGCGAAATCGGCGGCAATTGATTTTTTTTTCGGAGAGCAAGATCGATCTCGCGGAAATATGATAGTCGTTATCGTGAATCATCGAACTAATCATCTTTGTAAGTGACAACAATTGCAGAATCCGTCAGCGGTGAGATTGCGCGGGGAAGATTGATTTCATATTGATCGCGGATGACTCAGTTCTCCAGAAGATCGCTAAGGTTCGACTGGTAAATTATTAGTGTGTGTGCGCGCGTGTATTACGATTCGGCAACGGTGAATGAGAAGACCGCGTGATTCTCGCTACCTCAAGAAACACCCACGAGATTCTTGGTTTTCGAGAGAGGCGTCTTTTTATAATTTCGATATTCTTCCAATCAAAGCCGTGTGTTGCTCAAAAGATTCTCGCTGTTTTAGAATTCGGAGGACTCGTAGATCTTAAATATTAAAGAATAATAGGATTCAGTGCGGAGAAAGAGTGGAGAATAGTGCAATATTTTTTGAAAGTGTCTTAAACTTAATACTCGAGGATGCTCTGAGTGCTATGAGTCTTAAACAGATCCCAATTTTGCAGAAAAGATCTTTAAAAGTAGCGTTTTAATGAAAAATGTTGGGGAACGTTCCACAAAGTATTTATCCTTGGATCCATTTAAACGCCTCGCTAGAAAAAGATCCTTAGTATCTCAAAAAGGATTCATAAATTATGAATTTGTAAGAGAGGAAAAAAAGCTTTCTCTCATGATAAAATTATATTGAATACTTCGACGACGAGCAATTTGTTTCGTTCTTACGTACATAATTTTGATTTTTCTAAAAAAATCATGTATTGCAATAAAAATAACAATCGCGACATTGGAAGTATGCTTTATAGATTCCGTAGCTTCAAAAGCAAAATTGTTAACAATAGAAATTTAATACGATGAATACTTTATCAAATTGTTTAGACTCTTCCATTTTCTATCTACTTTATATGGTGTACCAAGGAACAACATCCTCCGGTATTGGAAGAATAATTCGTCAGCATTCAAATTTCTAAGTAAAAAGTCTCGATCCATTAATACTTTGCTAGAAATAAAGTTTCCGCTTCGGATTCAAATCGGTAAGGGAGGAGGAATCTCTCTCAGTAAAAAAAATCTCAATGAACGCTTCCGAGGTGAAATATCTAAATCCGCATACAATTCCGCATTTAGTCGACTTGCTCAAGAGAGATCACCGCACGATCAAGAACTTATTACGGATTATCTTAATGATCGAATCGAGACAGGAAGCAGCTCGAGAATAGTTAAGTGACATCTCGAAGCGGTCGCTGCAACATTGAGAGCTACAGGACAAGTTTCCGTTTGCCGCGCCATTGATTCTGCGGACGAGCCGCGTTTCCGCTGGCGGGAGTCGGTCCTGCGGGTGTAGGATTCGAGTGTGTATGTGTGATGACGATGAAGATCGCGCCGCGGGGACCACCGAGGTGACTCGCGGTGGCGGCGGCGGCGGCGACGGCGACGGCGGCGGCGGCGGCGGCGGCGGCGGCGGCTCTTGGGAGACCGAACGGTACCAAAGCTCGCAGGATGCTGCGGGCGGGAAGATCTCGCAGCGCAGGAGTCTTGCTCGCAGTCCCCGAATCGGCTCTGGCCGACTGGTAGGAGGACCGATGACGAGGCATGACGGTCTAACGGCGCGCGTCGCCGGGACGCTCACGTCGCGCTCGCGGCCTCTACTGACGACCCTGACGACGCTGCTCGTCGCGCTGTCCTGCTGCTGCGCTCGCGCCAGTGAATTCCCCGAGCGGGAATGCTGTGACCTACCCTACCCGATTCCGGAGCCCACCGGCAGGTCCACGTCCGCGCCGACGCCAACCGGAAGAAGCGGTAAGTCCTGGCGGATCGTAAGGTTGACATAAAAATATTTTATTTGAAGTGTAGACTACCCGACCTTTTCCCCACTATGAATACGTATTAATTTGTCACGTAAATATATGCTTATTATTACACGGATTTTCGTTTAAATATCTTAGGGAAGTTTATAAATTTTATATAAAAATCTAAATTATTTTATACTTAACGTAATTATATAATCGACAGAGAGAAAAGAGAAATTTGTATAAAAGAATCAGTTAAAAATTGTTATATTTGTGAATAAAATATTGCATGTAACAATTACGTGTATCATAATTATCAATAACGTTTATCAATAAAAGGCAACAGCAAATACAGTGAATTTTGATTTTTAATGAGATATTGGGGAAATATAAACCATGTTGCAAGCGCGAAAATCTGCTTTCATACAATTCGCATACAACGCCGGTTATTAGTGGAACAATGAAATAATATTCCGGTACTAATGGCAACGGACTGGAAAATAAATTCCAATGTAATTACAACGACGTTCTGGCTAACCGTCGTAGAACCGCGTTTTCATTACGCGTTTGCTTTTACGGAATTAAATATTGTGCGATATTGGCACGAAATATATTTCTATGGAGTTAGCAATAAAATACTTTAGGCACAGTAGCTCATAAGAATATTTATATATATCAGAGAATGTTAAAATCAGATTTAAAATGTAAAAAGAGGAAATGAGATTAAATAAATAAATAAATGTTTCATACACAAATTCCTTTATATGCAAATTTCCAAAAATACATAACTTTACGTTAATTCTGTATTACTATAAATTTATATTGTTGTAAATATAATTATATAATTAAGATAAAAGACTCGAGAACTCTGACAATAAGATTCAAGACGGTCTTAAAATTTACTTTACCTTTATAAGTAATTCGTAATTTTCCCTCAAAAGCATTCTCATTTTATATGTTATACAATATAATATTCTATGTGAGTAGAACACTGACAGAACGCAGAGGGGAGACAGACTCCAATAATTGAATGGGAACCAATAACTGTAGGTATGCTCTAGCCACGTTCCACTAACCGCAACTACTAGATACTATGATTCTCGTTCGCGGATGAGCGGATCATTAATTCGGTTACAATGGGTTATTAATTTAACAGTGCGTAACCAACTCAAGTTGGCCGCATTATGAATTTAAATGTCAATCCGACGAGTATCTTGCATATCTTTAACGCATATCAGGAAATTGCATAATAAAATGCAAATTTATTTCATCTCAGTTTAATCTTTCATTAAAATTTATCTTATTTATACAAGATCGTGATATAACAGAAAATATTTATTACACATTTAAAAATTGTTGAGGATAAAGTAAACAGCAAAAACTTTAGAGTTTTAAAGAAAATATCTCAAAACTTTGGATTAATTTATTCTTTACAATATATACATTCTTTACTTTTCTATAATAATGAACAACTTAAATTTTAACAATTATTTGGACAGCGATTACAGAAAGCTTTCATCAGATAAAATAGTGATAATTAACAGCTAACTATTCATTCAAAATCGTATATAGATTACAGTGCAAATATAAAAATTGATGTTTTTCTAAATAAAATGCGTTGTCTATATAAACATTATAGAATTCTTGATGGTTTTAATAAAATAAATATATAAATAAATATATAAAGCAAATTAAGTAAAAATAACTAATCTTTTAAATATAAAGTAACTTGATTCTATACGATGACATAATTAAACGCGACTTACAACGCAATTTTTTATATTAACTCTCGGAGTTCGCGGTTGCACTACATCATCGTTGGTGTATAAAGTAATGAGGGAAGTTACCGCATAATTGATCGTATTATTTGTGTCCGTGTGAGCACTCCGATCTTTCGTACTCGGATGAACTTCGATTGAGGTCGCGCGTTCGATCGAAGGTTATCTACGCTCTCCCTGCTAAAGCGGTAGCATAAGTTCCGACAGGGTGGAAGTCGTTCGTACCCCTTGTGGAATTTCTCGTGCGGCAGGGCGTCGTCTATGTGGCTATAGAGACCGTTAATGATGAAAGACGACCAACCCGGTTTTATTCGCCGGTTTTATACCAGATGCCCGTGAACTAGACACCGTTGACTCATACTTGAGTTTCTACAAATAGCTCTTTTGGCATAATAAAAATTTCTTAGAAAAATAATACATGTTTTTAAATACGTACAAGTATTTTTATATATTTCTTATATATTTTAAATATTTTCATGTTTAATCTTTTATTCTTGCTAATTTGATTATAAGCACACTTTATTTTAATCTATGTTATATAATAATAGTCGTGCATACAGTTTCAGAGAAATTTGATACGATTAGCAGTTCATTTATATGTTAAGGGAAGTTATTCAGTTTTTATATATATATGGTTATATTGATGAAAAACTCAGTCAAGTGTAATTTTTGCGGCATTACGCACGAATTTAATTATTTTCGCAGATTTGTACATTTAAATATTTTTTATTAACATTTATTTTATTTTATCGTCGATATTTGAAACAATTTGTTTTAAACACAGTTCTATATTTTCCAGTACAATTATACATAAATTGAATACTCTTTTTCTGATGCAACAGAATGAGAAAATGTTTAGTAATTGTTCACTTTAAAAGAGAATATTGAAATATTAAAATATAAAATAATAATGAAATATATATGGTGTTTTTTGCTTGAATAAAATTTGTTATAAGATTAGGTCACAAAGATAATAATAGATTATCCAGCAACATGTAAAATTGTATTATTTTCAAAGTTACTTTAAAAACTTTAAGTTAAATAAAAGATATAAAAATTACTGTTATTGTTAAATATTTTGTTTTTATTTTTAATATTATTTTATTATAGAAGAATGTAATTTTTTACATGTCTTCTTTAAAGAATTATTTTTTAAATTAAAATCTATTATTAATTAATTTATTCTACCATTAATTTAGCAGTTTTTTCTTCTCTTTCGATAAAAATAAAATTCAAATTATAAATTATTTAATTTAATAAAGAAGATATAATCTTTTAAATTAATTATTCACTATATCGCGATTAGCTTTGCAAGGAATGAATACTTCCTACTTATAAGTTACCTTTTCGAGCACATTATGTAAACGTTTTCTGCAAAGTGCCTATCGGAGAGACTTAATGACGAAACGTGATCTGCTTCATCGATTGCCTTACTTAACGATCATGGAATTAATTTCCTAGACGATTATGAGTTCGCGAAGTGTAGTCGACTTCTTTTTTGAGGGTCGCTGAATTTTCGCGAAGTAATCAGAAGCGACGGGAGTCACGTAAACGCATAATTGCAGTCGATTCGTTTGCACCTTCTCGTCCGTGACATTTTGAAATAAGCTTCCGCGAGAGAATCGTCTTACATTCCCCACAGAACTTTGCCGCGTTGGTGCGCTGTACGTGCTTAATGATGAAAGATGATCGTCCGGGTAGGCTCCAATTTATCGCTCGTTTATCAGACGGCGTTTCATAAACGTTCAGACCAATCGAGGGCGAAACAATACAGCATGAAAAAAAAAACTCATAGCCGAGCGTATTTAAAAAAACTTGCGTTCACCGAGAAACTTTGCCCTAAGAATTAATAATGCTTTCGATGGAAGTTAAGCACTCGGGCAATCAATCATAATCTATAATGGAATTGTATTCTGTCGTTGCAAAATAAGACCAACTCATATTTAACAAATTCTGAAAAAAGACAATTGCATTTTTAGCACCTTCAGATTATCGTATAATTAACAACTTTAAATAGAAGTTTTATTATTAAAACAAAAAAATATAACAATGTTCACGTTAATATTTATACATTGTAAATCGATAATATTTAAAACCAGAGTTAAATTTGCAAAATGTACTTACATATTTATTAAATTTATATTTTTAATATGTCACGATATATAATATTGATTGTTAAACATACGTGTGATATAGGACAAAGTAACAGTAATCTCAATTTAATGGAAATTTACAATTTAAATTGTATATAAAATATTAATTTCTGGTATACAGCCTACATTTCAAAGGGTAGCGATTTAATGTAATTAAATTGTTGTTTAACTCGTGATTTTCATTAAAAATTTCATGACAAAGTGAAAGTATCACGTTGCGAGCATTGCGTGTGATGGATTTCTGATTATTCTCGCATTAAGAAATAAATCGATGAGAAATGAAGAGATAATTTGAAATAATTAGATTGATATAGATATAATAGATTGATGTGCGTAATGTAATATACTCGTATATTGATATTTCCGTATTGATTTCCACGCTAGAAGGTTTCACGTGGACACTCTGCGACGGAAATTGTTCGTTTCCCTGTGGAATCACCATATGCCCGAAACATTGTCTATATCTAGGTATGGAGTATAAATAACGAAATACGCTTAATCCGATCAGACCAGGCTAGTCCCGAGATTTATCGTTCAATGTTGCATAATTCATCGATTCTTAGCACGCCGGATTTGTGAATCACGCCGCAGTGAATACTCCTCTCGACACGAACTACCTTTCGTCATCACTAAAGTTTTGTTCTGTGTGTAATATCGATTTGTTTGGGTATAACGTATTTAATAATTTACACACACTTTTTCCTTTTGTTTTATTCAGCAAAAAGTCTATCATCTTTAATAAAAGTAATATTTGTGTAATTAAATTTCGAATTAAAAGGGGACATAATTTACTAATAAGTTTATCCAACAATTGTAAATTATAACTATCTTTCTATTATATCTTTAAAGTATTTACATAAAAAGTAAATTAATCGTAAATTGTATTTTCGTATTGATATCTTTAAAGCTTTTAACATAAAAAGCAAATTGAATGAATATAAAAAGAGACCTCTGTATAAATGCGATTATAATCTTCAATCAGTTATAATTAAAAAATTATTTTGATATTGAAAAATTTCTCAATCATTTTTTATAATTCAACTTCTGTATTGTAAAAAAGTAATACATTATTTACGGTA